TCTTGTTTTTGTGCATGTTATTATCTCCGCAGGTCTGTCTAAATAAAATAGGATGGATGAACAATCTGGAGGAGAAAACAATGGGACCGATTGTCCTGGGGGGAGGGGGTTGCAGAGGCGAGGGGGAGGTGGGGGGGAAAGGAAGTGGTGTTAACAAACCCAGGGACAAGGGAACAAGGGATCCAAATCAGTGGTGAGGAGGGTGTAGGAGACCTGGAAGGGCATGATCGAGGGAAATGTAACCAAGAGGAATTACTGAAACCTAAATGAAGGCTGAGCATGATAGTGGGACAAGAGGAAATAAAAGGAAATAGAGGGAAGAACTATGAGGCAAAGGGTATTTGTAGAGGTCTAAATAAAGGCATGTACATATGTAAATATAGTTATATATAAGTTTGGGGAAACAGATCTACCTACATAGGTTTAGTATTAAGGTAACAGGAAGGACATTGAGCCTCTACTCAAGTACTCCCTCAATGCAAGAATACTTTCTTCTATTAAATTGGCATTCCAAGATGCTCACCTTCCCAACACTATTGCTGAAAACAAAGCAGGTGCATAAGCAGATGTGGTGAAGAAAGATAATGGTGGCTGGCTATCAAAAGATATAGCGTCTGGGGCCTTAAAGGCTTGAAGACCCATCTAGCTCAGACAAGCAGACATCTAGCTCAGAAGCAACAAAGCCCACATGAAAGAAGCACACCAGCCTGTGTGATCATGAGGTGTCGAAGGGATCAAGTATCAGGCATCAAAGAACAAAAAATCAAATCATTGTGAATGAGGGGGAGTGCAGATTGGAGACCCAAGACCCATCTGTAGGCAACTGGACATAAATGTATAGAAGGGAATATCTATAAGGGTATAGAAGGGTCACAGGGAGGAGACAAGCCAGTCAGGGTGCAATGTAGCAATGATGATACAAACAAATTTCCTCTAGTTCCTAACTGCTTCCTCCCCACCCCCTCACCCTCACCCCCACTATCATGATCCCAATTCTACCTTACAAATCTGGCTAGACCAGAGGATGTACACTAGTACAGATAGGAACTGCAAACATAGGGAATCCAAGACAGATGATCCCTTCAGGACCAGTGCTGCCAGTGGCGATACTGGGATGGTGGAGGGAGGGTGGGTTGGGAAGGGGGAACCAATTACAAGGATCTACATATAAGCTCCTCCATGGGGGATGGACAACAGAAAAGTAGGTGAAGGGCGACGTCGGACAGTGTAAGATATGACAAAATAACAATAATTTATAAATTATTAAGTGTTCATGAGGGAGGGGGCAGCGGGGAGGGATGAGAAAAACTGAGGAGCTGATACCAAGGGCTCAAGCAGAAAGCAAATGTTTTGAGAACGATGATGGCAACAAATGTACAAATGTGCTTGACACAGTGGATGTAAGTATGGATTTTGATAAGAGTTGTAGGAGCCCCCAATAAAATTATTTAAAAATAAAGATTGACTGAAATGTCCACTCAAGACTGTAACCTTTAGATTCTAGCACCCTGTGATAACCAAATAAAAACTCTTCTAAAAAAAAACAAAAGAAAAACTTGGCTTATACTCAAGTGTATACGGTAATTCCAAAATAGAAATCAGTCACTGAACATATTAAGTTTCTTTAAATTCTTTTTTTTTTTAGTGCCAAATTACTTTTTGAAAAAAATCATTTTATTGAGGGCTCTTACAGCTCTTATCACAATCCGTACATACATAGATGTGTCGAGCACATTTGTACATATGTTGCCATCAACATTTTGAAAACATTTTCTTTCTACTTGAGCCCTGGCATCAGCTCATATTTTTTTTGTTGTTTCTTTAAATTCTTTATGTATGAATACTGTGACTATTTTAAGAATATCCTCTGTTTGTAAGTAACTACTTATAATTTAATATACTCAAGTCTGAGGCAAAAGCTACTATCCACAGAAAACTATAGAAATCTGTCCAATGATGTCCAATATCTCTTTACAATATCGGCTAGGTGCCCTAGTAGATTACGGAGTTAAGAATTTGGTTGCTAATAGTCAGCAGTTCAAGACCAGCAGTCGCTCTGTTGGAAAAAGATGTAGCTACTGCACTCCCTGAGCAAGATCCACAGTAGAACTACCAAGGCAGAAAAGAGAGATTATATGCATATTTGTTTTGCTGAAAAGATGGGAGACATTCAGATTAAACCAATGAATTATTCTAAATTGACAGGTGTTACTCAAGAAAAAGAAGAAAGTCCTGCAGGCTTCAGGAGTCGATTAGTAGAGGTGCTCGTAAGTTAACCAACCTGGATTCAGAATCAGCCAAAGGGAAGACTGTTTTAAACACATTATGATCCATTCAGTCCGATACCCACGGGAAGCTTCAGCATCATCAAGCTTGGGACCATAAAGCAACCCAAATGAGCTCCTCACAGCAGCCGTCTAGGTATACAACAACTGCAACTTGGAGGAAAGAAAGAGAGAACACCAGGAGCAAGAATTCTTAGGGCTGCTACTGTAGTCAATTAAGGCCCCAGACCCAGAGGTGGAGTGGCTGACGCAGTCCCTATAACTTCAGCCCCAAGTGATTAGCTACTCACTACAGCTGTAACTACTGAGTGACTACAACTGTGGTCATGCTGAGTTCGTATCTCGCAAGGAATGTCCCCCATGAGACATGGGGGTGAGAGGGAAGTCTCCTTCACTTGTTTCCCTTATGGGACCTTGGGGCATCTGGCCCACAGAATCATGATGAAGGCCAAACCCTTAGACTGAAGGAGACCGGGCTCCCATGCTCCCTCTTGCAACACCTTTGACAGCAATCTCAATAAGCCTTGGATATGTGTAGATGTTGTCCATCTACTTTCCGCTGGATATCAGGGCTACCTAGTCAGCACGAAAATCCTCTAGTGGTCTCTTAACTTCCCCTTTCCAAGTAGTTGGCATCGATGAGGCCTCAACAAAAAGATTTTTCACTCCTCCCTTGCTTTGCTTCTGAGAAGGGTTCTTTATTCTCCCACTAATTTCTAGTTGTTCCAGAGTCTCGAGTCTCCCGCCTCCCCTTTAGACATTTTTTTTAATTGAGACTGAGTGCACAAGAAACCATCATTACCAAACCTACCAAATTGCTCAAGAGAACAGCTGACTAATGCAGGATTTGAATCCCAAACTTTGGGAGCATCACAAAAACTTTATGAGGCTCTTAAGAGAGAGAATTAAGAGGTAGAAGGAGACAAGGCCCAAGAAATGGCTTTTAAAGCACATAAACAAGCCTTCATTAAGACCCCAGCCTTAGAGCTCCTGACATAGAAACAAGAAAAGAAAGAAGAAACCTTTTTCCTACGTGTGTCAGAAAAAGACCAAGGTGGCAGTAAGAGTTACGATCAAGTTTTTTAGAACTGAACCACGACAGTGGCATATCTGTCCAAATAAATCTGGCTTCCTACCTCCCAGAGCCAATAACAAGCTATCTGCCTTTTATTGTTCAGCCCATGTATCTTTAACATGTTGACAAGTTTGTCTCTTCAAGACGGAAGCAATGCCATATAAGAATGGTGGTGACAAGGCCCATCCCACTCCAGATGGTGGACCAGGCAGCTCACAGGTTTAGGGTAAGTGAAGGGAATGCATTCTGAAATTATATACACACACACACTCACACATACATTAAGGTGACATAAGTTTTATCAATGGTGTCCCGCTTTAGTGTTAAAATCTGGTCACCTTACCTATAAGGCCTGAATGACCTATCCCAAATTGCCTTACAAGATCCATTCCAGAGGTCATGGGCACGTAATCTATCAACTAACACAGCAACATATGATAATGAGGTTCACTG